ACAGCGGCATTTACGATTACGTCCATTAAGGGGAGATTTGGTTGGCTGACTACCTCGAGAGGCTTTCAGCATCAGAAAAAAAGCAGTTTTGTGTAGTTTGCGTTGGTTGCTTCATGGATATGACACCCCCCTAAAAAAGAGTCTTTCACATTTGGAGATTAGCGGCCTCAACAAGATGATGGCAACCCTCCTTTTTCCATAGATCGATAATGATATCTGCCTCAGTGGATAGAGGCGTGGAGGAGGTTTATGAATACAGAGTCTTTTGACCAAGTCACGTCCTGAAGCTTTGCACTGCGAAATATGTGAGATTCCGGCAGCATCGGTGGGACATGTGGTCGTGAAGTATGATGGCAGTCAACTGGCAATGACGGCTGAGCAGCTCTAACGCTTCTTGACGTATTGCTGCCATGTAGACAGTTCCTTAATATAGAATCCCACCATTGCCGCTGGAGGCTTTTGTTCTAGCAGCACCAGCAACGTATGAAGGAGAGGCCGAATGAGAGTGATATGCGCCCGTGGTTATTGAGCCGACTGTTGGTTGTTGAGAAATTCTTCCATTTCTTTGTGAGACCTCCATCTCTCTTCAACCAGCGGAATCATCTTCTGAGTGTTCTGGTTGGAATATGCGCCGCGTTGGAAGTGGAGAGAAGGGAGGTTCGTCATGTGAGTAGAGTCGGCTTATGTCCTCTTCATTGTGATAGAAAACCCATTTACTACTGGATCGACAGTTTCTGCGTGAAGGCAGAATGCCTCACTCCCGTTATCTCAGAAGAACCATTCCTGCTGTATCCCATACGAAGAATCAAACCTTCAAGAGCTTCACGGCTTTGATGTCTACCTACTTTCACTTGTTTCCTTGAGTCGAGATGGAGTGGTTCTAGACGGAGCGAACGCATCTCCTGAAGTCACAGATTACTCACTCGATGCAATACGGTAGACACATCGAGACCAATGAACATCTGGCTGCCACAACATTCATTTAACTCATCTATTACCCCCCTCAAGGGAGATTAATCCTATACTTCAACTCATCCGGGCTCACGCTCGTAGGATCCTCCACCTGCTTAATCCACACGACAGACTTATCCTCATACACAACCTCGACATCAAACATGTGCTGCGACTCCCGCTCGCCGACCTGCTTGACAATAGTCTGGTTCGCCTCCTTGTAGCTCTCCAGCATGCTCAGCCACGTCTGCGTGTCCCACAGCCCGTCGCGGCGCGGGTACTCCCGGAACAGCCTCATCGCGTCGGCCCGCACCGTCTCATCCATGCAGAGCATCGTCGCCGCGCCAAGGGGCCACGTCGGGCTGTTGCTGTCCATTGTGAACATCTCGCCCGAGGCGTTGAGTAGGCGCTGCTGGAGCTCGAGGAATTCCTTGCTCAGGTCGACGTAGAGCCGGAAGCTGGGCGTCATGGCCGCGAGCTCGTCCGTGTCGCAGTAGTTTGCCGTCCGGATCGGGATCGAGAGGTAGGTGGAGTGGATGCGCAGGCCCAGGACCTTGAGGTACTCTCTAGTATCGCACTTTGCTTCCTCTCCTTGTTCTTTCGCCTGATTCTCCCTCTTCTCCTGCGCTGCTTCGAGGAGGGGCGAGAAGCGCGCGCGCCAGGCTTGGACGTAGCGATCGTGCGCTTTCACTTGCTCCGGGTTGATGGGCAAGCTGACGTTGGGCGGGAAGGACGGCGCTTTATTGCCCGTGCCCTCGACGCGGAAGCCGATGATGAGGGGCGCGTGGTGGATTACGTGGTGCTGGGTGACCTCCCACCAGCGGTGCGCCTCGTCGAGCGAGTCGAAGGTGTCGGGCATCTCGTCGACGGCGTAGCGCGAGGTACCTTGGCCGCGACAGCACCAGGGCACCTGCTTCTCCGTCTCCTTTGGGTGGTCGCCATTGTGGCTCCAGGACTGCAGCGTCAGGCGCTGGAAGTTTGTGGCGATGGCGTCGACTAAGGGATCACGACGGGATGCCTCCTTCGTCATCTTCATCTTTTTTGAGCGGCGCTTCTCGTACTGGTCGAGGATGTTGTACCCGTGGTTGAGGTGCGTTAGCGCGGACCTCCTGTCGCCGTGGAGGGCCTCGAACATGACGAAGAGGAGGCACGTCATGAGGACGCTGGGGAAGGTCTCCTCCGTGGGCGGAGATTTGACGGTCAGCTGCAGCGCGCGGTTGTAGTACTCGAGCGCGTCGGCGAAGTAGGGGCCTTTACCCGTGAGACGCTCCTCTCGGGTGCCGCTGCCGAGGGCAGCGGCGCCGATGGCGAAGGCGGCGTTGCGGACGGCCAGGTCGGAGCGGGCTATCTGCGGTATGGTCTCGGTGATGAGCTGGGAGGGGAAGACGAGGGTGTCTGCGGCGAAGGAGAGCCATTGGTCAAAGTGGTCCTTTTGGAGCTGCGTCGTGAAGACGAGGCTCTGGTAGCTCGGTTCGACGGAGAAGGGGGAGGAGGAGGTGGAGCTGCCGTTGGGGCTGGTGGTTGCGATGAGCTGTTTTGAGGCTGCGCCGGGAGAGGAGGAAGCGTTTGGCGATTTGGGTTTGTACCCCTCACATTCCACCCGTCGCTTGAGACAGTTTTGACATGACGGCTTTGTCTCGTCACATTTTATCCTGCGCCGTCTGGGCGAGATTGTGTCAGTACGATGAGAGGAGATGAGAGTCCGATTCGATGTGCGTGAGTTGACTTACTTGCATGTGACGCATCCCGTCCGGACTTTGGGCTTACTAGCCCTGGTGGTAGGCCCGGCGTTGTGAGGCCAGTTCTCGAGCGCAAAGGTGAGAATCTGGGGACCGGGAGAGGGCATCAGGGCCGGAGTTTGGTTTGGGCCTTTGTTGTAAGTAAGAGGCTGAGAAAGTGAGAAGACAAAAGTGCCTTCAGGGAAGGGATTATTGGGGTTTCCGGGTACTCGGGTCTCGGAGACTGTGTGTTTCCCGCTATAATGTTTTTGTACAGATGCGAGGTCGCCGAGTTGTAATCTCTCGCATTTCTAGAACCGGAACACTTGGCGGGCAGCAGCAGCGGTTATTACACAAGATTTGATGCTGCTGTACTTCCTCTTTCTCTTTCTTTGTTGTAACTTTGTAAGCGCTCAAAGGAAACGAAGGAACGATGTATTATTGCTGCCTAAAAACGCTTTTACATCATCCGTAGTAACCCTGGTCTATCTCTTAAAAGGAATGGGCAGAAAAAAAAAGAAGAAGAGAAGAAGAAGAAGGTAGGATGAATCCTTCTGCAAGTCAACAAGTTGAGAGTTGGTCTTGTCAGGCAAGTTGACAGAATGGGAACTTGTTAGGAAGGGGGGGTTCGTGGAGGATAAAACGTGGGGCGTTATCTCCGAGCTATGAAGTCAAAAACAATGTGAGAAGAACTTCGACCAGAAGGAAATCGAGGAATTGGAAACATCGGGAAATGCGCACCGCCACCCGTTAGCACGAGTTGGCGGCATGGCACGCATGGGTGCCAGGAGTTCAGACCCCTTGGCTGGGTGCAACATGGGGGGTTGTTTGGTTGTCAAAGTCAATCAAAAGCCGCCCTGGGTCCGGGGGGTTGAGCCAGGCAGCAGTGAATCATGAATCGATGACGGCTAGATCACGGAATCATAATCATTACATAACATCGGTCAAGGACATCGATGAGTTCACAACTTTCTAAGCGCTGGCTGGACAATTGTAGAAACTATCCTATTGAAAGCCTCGAAGCCTTTTGGGGGCCGTGGCTGTGTCGCACATGGTTCCTGACTGCGCCGCCGTTGAAAGACGTGGTCTGGCAAAAGTCTAGAACTACCAGCTAAGGTAAGGTCGGCAAACGTTGATCGGATAACTACGCCGCCCCGCGTGGGTGTCAGATCGCTGGGTGTCTGTGTGACACGTTCAACGTGCAAGCTGCCGCGCGCGGAGGGGGGAAGAAGATGGAGGGGGAGGGGGAGCCCCCCCCCACCGGGCCGTCCGCGATCCCAGGCTGTCCCTAGCGAACTCCATAACGTCGCCGACTCGGTGACCAGAAACCCTCGTCGGTAGGTTTAAATGGACAGCTCCGGCTCCGAAGTGTGGACGAGGAACGGAAGCTAACAGCCCTGTGGGATTTCCAACCGTTACGGATACAGGGCTGTGGGCTGGTCCTTGGTCGATGGTGTGCTTCCTCATTGGAGGGGAGTGGGTATGCGGTCATCTTAAACCACCCGAAGGATTCTGAACCTTTTCCCTCCTCTTTCATGAGAAACCTATCACAACCGCAAGGTTTAAGGCTGAACAGAAGGGCTTGAACCTGATTCCATGCCCCTTGCCCCGAGTAATATGCCCCTTTTGAGACAGTTGGGTAATCAACGGCCTGGCTGTTCTTCGTGCAGAACTAACTTGGAATGGATCGGGCTTGTTCGAATGTCAGTTGATCATTGGGCTCCTCCCGAAACTTAGTATCATTCGATGTTGAACAGCCCATGCCCTCGACTCTTGATGCCATCGAGCCCCATTTCATGCTGATTCTTCGAACTAACTTTGCGATAAGGATCTTGATGATTGCCGTCATTTCCATCTTTGAGTGGTAGAAAGTTGGGGAGAAGCCTGAAGTCTGCGGCAATAGGTTTTTGCACCAATGAACCAGTGTGCACCGTGGATAGGGGCCACGTCTGAAAATTTCTCACAATCCTTAAGCGTCGTTGGTCTTAAATGATGTGGACTTTTTCAAGATAAGAATGTCCAGTTTTCCAGGCAGATAAAGTCGAAGAATCCTATCCTAGCCCAAAGCTGTCCTGGATACACAGATCGGTACATTAAAGGAGGCATGGGTGTGCGGGATACGAAGCGTGACGGGACCTATCTAATGAAGGGGAAGATGTGTTTTTCGGACAATGAGAGAAACTCCAGTTTATCGCCAGTTGGGCACTGATTACAAGCAAAGAACTCGTGGAAGATTTAGGCATCCCATCAGTTGTCGACAGAAGAGTGACTTCGTACTGCGAATGCTGCCAAGTCCAGTTATCTTCTCAGTCATACTGTTGAGTGCCTAACATGCAACGACAACGAGACAATGAGGCCACGGACCTGCACAATGATCTTGTTCGAAAGTACAAGAAACATGGCGCTGTCATCAATGAAATCTGGAGAGATTTTGGTGTAGGCCAGCGTGCGAAGTGTGTGAAGGCCGGAGCAATGGAGGGTGTCTTGCTCAGACACTCGGGGGACACTACCCTGGGCGATAACTAGAAGATCTTTCCCGAATGGAATTTGCGCGACTTGACTGAACGGCCCGAACATTTTCTGAGCATGCTAGAGCACCGCATCGAGAAAACGCCTATGGAGCAGTACTGTTACGGGCTTAACGGTGGTAAGGGTGATGCTGATATCATTCAGGAGCGCATGCGGACGCAAGGTCTACGTCCGCCTGCATCTGAAAAGGACTGGTACATGCTGTTTTCCGACGGGTAATGGTACGATTGCAATGTTTATCTGCCCGAAAAAGACGAGAAATCGTTGGGCGGGCTTGTCCCGGCCATCAGAGCGGGACTTGTGCCACCAAGTGATATCGGCCAGCTGATCTTAAAACGTCAAGTCACCTTGCTGCGGTCACTCAACATCCTCATTGACGATATCTTGGATCAGGGCTCGAAGACGCGGAGTAACGCCCAGCGCCCTAAGGAGCCAGAGGAGATAACCACTGCGGCATTCTCAAAATTGAGCATCTCACAATCCCCCGCCAAGCTTTCTCTAGCCGACCTCGTCAAGGCTGCCTGCGATCAGGCGGCTTTGTTCAAGGAACGCATAGAGCTCCGCTCAGAGCCGGTTGTTCTTGCACACGACGTCAGTTTCTGGTTCTGCAGCCGGCCAGAGATCCTCCTAGACGAGAAAGGACGTCGTTTGCCGGTGGTTTCCGACAAGTATGTAAGTGCCAGCGTCTTCGACGCTGTCCATAATGCCGTCAAGGCGGCGGTTCTGTGGAATTACATGCATCAGCTCCTCGAGCGTTTCGAAAGCTTGAGCCAAGACAAAGCCCACCGGACTATCCTGCTACAGAAGATAGCCAACGCCGCCCAGCTCGCTTACGTCTCCGTCCAGGCCTTATTCAAGCGGCATATTCAGTCGCATTCGGGCAGCAAGTGGTACAAGCGGATGTCTAATGTGTATGGCAGCGTTGGCAACGCGCGTGTGACGCTCAAAGGCAATCCAGGCGATTTGACGCGAAGCGATCCTCAACTTCACTACATGCTCCGGCTCTGCCACCGTGATACCACTGCAGCCAAGGCCGTCGATTGGCTAAAGAAGTTGGGCGATCTTCATCAGGCTCATCCCGAAAAGCGGGAGAAACTGGTCGAGAGTGAGTTCGAGTCTCTTTGTGACCTGGCCACCACAGTCACCTTCATCCAAGATGTGACCAGTACAATCTCAACGCCAGCTCCATCCCGCAAAATGGGGCAATTGTTCGTCTCCAGGTCCCAAGAGCTGGAGAAAGAATTGAACGAGCTCAAGACCGGCGTTGATCTGAGGGACTTTGTCGTCCCCGTCGACAACCTTCTAGAGCCGGGGATGACCGCCGAAGCTTTAGAGAACCTCAACCAGTTTATGGTTGACAATGCCGGTGCCAAGCTTGGTGCGCTTTACGAAGATCTTGTTTTCGAATGCTTCTCCGACCTTGAGAATCAGTATGAACAGTACAAAGTCAAGATCAGCCAAGGCCAAAAGGAGTGGACACCGCTTCCGGTGCCTGCCCCCAAGCCGCGAGAAACTCTAGTGGAGCAGCGGAAGGAGAAGGAAAAGACTCGTCCGGCCCAAGTATCTGCCTTTGAGGTCAGTCCTCAGGCAAATGTGTCGACTACAGAGCCGGTCGTTGAAAAACAGACTTTTGAAGTCTCACCGGCGACTGCCGAGGTTTTCAACGCCCTCTTCAAGAAGTCAGAGTCCCGAGGTGCGGTGAACTGGACGGCCTTTGAAGGCGCCATGGTCGAGCTCGGGTTTTCGGTCCTGCCCAAGCACGGCTCGGTTTTCACTTTCATGCCACCCGATAGTATGGCAGTGAAGAGGCCGTTCACCATTCACCGACCTCGCAAGTTTCAGATTGAAGGGTACATGACGCTGGTGTACTCTCGGCGGCTCGCGAGGGCGTACGGATGGGATGAGAAGACATTTTCAGTTGCGTGAACAAATTTGCGATGTTCATCGCAAGGAACATGGAATGTCAAGAGTGCGTAGAACTGGCTGGGTTTGGCTTTTAAAGAATGACTCACTTTCTTGTTTGGCATTACGATGTGAGGGAACTAGTAACGATAATATGATGACTATGGGATGATCCGGGGCACCAGAAAGGATTGGGTGATTGGTACGAGGTCGGATGAAGGTCGAGAAAGCCAAGGGATGTTGACCCTGTGGTTTCCCAGACTCAATGTTCAAAATTGCCAGACTTCGCCTGACATCGTTTTCCCTCTGGCTGCTGCGAGCATGGTGCCTTCGAATTTAAGAATGATCTCAGACCCTGTTTCATTCCGCCAGAGTACCAACTGTGAATAAGGGCCGTACCATGCCTGATCAAAAGGTGTCATCGTGGAAGGACAAGGCAGCATTCGCGCCATTTGAGATAGTCACCCAAACGTAGCAGAGCGATCTAGTCTTCACAAGCGCAAGCAATCATCTTCGAATGCCGTTATAGCAGTGGTTAATTCTTGCACCAAGGATGCTGAGTCGACTGATCCTCGTCAATTGGTCACCTGTCGGCATTGCATCGTTGTCGATGTTCAACCCACCTACCAATGGCCGGTGACGTCAATTGAGGTCTGGGTAAAGTCGAGTGTCACGTGCAATATTGGTCTAAAATTGGTATAGCGCTAGCGGGCCGCTCACGAAATGCGGGTCTTATGGCCTGTGCGACCGAGCCCGCGTGTGGGGTGCAGGTCTAGCGCCGAGCGCCGATATCCCCGAGCGGCCTCCTTCGGAACTCCGATGCGCACAATGTCGTGAAGTTCACACGTTGTCCAAATTGTGGCCAACGAACATGAAACTTAGCCAGCAGATAGAGCTCGGTCAGGGCTTTATAACCGTGCCATTCACAACATGGGATTGGACAATTTTCGCTCTGGTGAGTTTACATGCCACCAGCGAGGTTGGTGTTCCGTTTCTTCCTCATGACACTGGACAAGCCAGAGCACACAATGAAAAAAGGAGGTTCGCGTCGCCTGGAGGCAGTGTAATACCAGGGACACTGTGAGAGGAGCCGTGTGCAAGCACAGAGGGCTTCTCTCGAGGTACAAAAATAGGAATAATCACGATTGGTCTCCTTAGAGACCTTTCAGAGATTAAACTGAAAAGAACAGATACTACACTTGATCTAAGCCAAAAGGCAAAGAGAGCTAAAGAAGAAAGAGAAAAAACAAGCAAAGGACGGCGACAGACGGCGCTTATATAGAAATCTGCTGGGCGGTGTTCCGAGGCGCGGCTGGGGCGAGGCGGCAGAATGTGCGAGGACACGAGTCATTTCGGGCGGGGAGAAACCTTAGACCGCGTGGATACGTGCGGAAATTGGCTGCAGATGTGTCCAATGAGCTTGTTGAACCATAGACAGCCACCTGTTTGTCTGGGAACTTTCCGGTGAGTTACGTGAAAGCATCCACCACGAACAGACGGTGAGGCTCGACGACGACAACTATTGGCTTACTGCGACTTCTGAGGTCCACTGTCTTTTGGTTTACCTTGTTGACCGGCTGGTCCATTGCGGTCTATGGGGTCTGGTAACCAACCAGAGTCTGGTTGGCGGTGGAAAGTGTGCCAAACAGACTTCGGGGTTTCACAATGTTATGCCATCATGGTCTATGCATATATGCAGCAGCTTACTTGTGACTTGCACAAATTACTGTATAACCCAGTTGCCTAGTACTTCACCGAACTCACCGTCGCAAGAACACGACAAGGTGATTGATGGGATGGCGGGGATGGGTGTTTGTCACGAGATATGGGTGGGCCCGCTTTTTGTGACAGTGTTCGAGTGTATTTCCAACGACCGACCTGCCGGATCCAGTAAGTGCTCCCAAGTCGTGAGATCTCCTTGATCCGGTTCGGTGCCCTCGGCGTCAGGTTCGGAGAAGGAGTCGACTTCGTGTGCACACTCTGGCCCGTTACTCGGTGTCCACCATGCCCATCACCAACCAAAGACTGGACGAATCCTCTAGATGTCTCTCGAAGCTGGGTTTGGCTTCATTCTAGTAATGATATATAGCACGTACCGTCGCGTAATTACCACCGAAACTCTGCGTGACAACTGGCCCGTAACAGCCGTGTTGGCGATCAAGCGGCTGCCTGCCCTCATCCGAGGACCGTCCGTAATCCTCCTTAATAGCTTCCACTCTGTTTACCTGAGTCTCTGGAAAGGACATTGATCTATGAGATGAAGGTGGTTAAAAAGACTAATATCTGTCCGGCTTTGCGTAATCGTTTTGCCGCGGGCCCGATTATGCGGTCGGTTCTATACTCAACGCCTGCTTCGATAACTTCTTCAAAATGGTAATACACTCTTAGGGTCTAAAGTCTTAAAGTCTAACACGTTAGCATCTTTAGTCTTTATCTCTCCCCAAGGCCCAGGTATATTATTAAAGGAATACACCAAAAGGGGATAAGAGCAATAGTATTAGCAACGACGACAGCAGGAGAGATAGTAATAACAATACCAAGAGAAATAGTAATAACGATAATAAGAGAAATAATAGTAATAATAGTGGTAGAAAAAGTAATAATAATAACTAGAGATATAGTAAGAATAATAGTAGGAGAAGTAGCGATATAAATACATAAGGTAGTAGATAGTTATTAATTTAATTTATTATATTATATACGTGCTCTGAAATCGTATGGAGCCCTATGAGACTGGTCGAGTGAACCGACAGTCCCGACATGACTGTAACTCGATATCCTGCTGATTGATAACGAGTCATAGAACAGTCTGCTCAAAGACATCATTTGCGTATTGTGTCCTGCGCGAGAACTCGGAATCCTTGTAGTCGTCGGGGTACAAGAGTCCGACCACGTAATCGCTACCGCTGTGCCATCACTCGACAGAAGGGTCCTGGTGGGGGCTATAGAGGAGGCGAGTCTTGCTTAGCTCATGACAAACCGTCCCTGTGACTTCGATCATGTGGCTAACCTCACTGGTCATCAGGTCAAAAGTCAATGCAGGCACACCCTAGAAAGCTGAAGCTTCCCGATCGCATGTCGAGCGGATGTTTCAAGTGCGGCCTTGTATAAGTCGAAGGTACCTCGAAAAGAAGGGACTTCTGCTTTCGTATCGAATAACTCAGAGTGCTGTACGCTATCTTCAGTGCTCTTCTGACTTTGACGACTTCCAACTGGCCACCGCACCAACTATCTCTCTTCTACGAACCATCCAAGTTGACGTCCGTCTCACACGCGCAAGTACTTACCTTCACAAGCCAATAATCGCGGCTTGAGTCTACGAGGGCTCTGAAATACGCTTGAGGGAAGGAGATCTACAGTCTCCCGGAATTCTGTGTCAATCCCCGACCTTGGTGTTCTTCAGACAGATTCCTCCTACAGAGTCCTAGTCAGAGTGGTTGAGAATCGAGTTAGACGTCACTCTCACGATGCCTGTCATGTTCCAACTGTCCTCAATGCCACTAATATGATGCCTCTCTCGAGGTTTGTTGGGATTGTCTTGGTCCTTGTGGTTCGGATTATTATTCTCCAGGGGACACAAACTCATCTATATTCACTCGGAAGTCTGTTCAGATGAATGCATTTCGGGAGAGCCCGCGAGGCCTTGACCTTTCGATCTCATATAGACCACCTATGGCTAGCGTTTCTTAACAGGCGCTGTAAGCAGTCTCGACCGTGCCTACTATGCCAGGTACTCGCAACTTGCATCGAGCCATTCGTCCAAGACATGCAGTGTTGTCGATGTCCAGTCTCCCCTAGTGTCTCGGCAAAGGCTACCTCGGAGTCATGGAGTTCGCGAGAGTGACGCTTGTTGACCTGGCTTGGAATCTGGATCTTGTATTGCCGTTCAACTACTCTTCCTGAATAGATGCGAAACAACTTTGGCGGTGAAACTGGCCTTTATCCACTTCTCCCACTGCACCTATACCAACTGACGCAGCAAGTATCGCCCGATCCGATTGAGAATCAAGAGACGAGATCACCGGCACCGAAAGTCAATGCCATGAACCCCATGTGGACCGGCCAGTGATGGCCGACAAACACATTGATACTCTTGAGGTTCTTTCCTCTATCTTTTGAAAGGCTTAGACGATGTTTTGCCTGCAGAAATATAAGCCAAAGTCTGCGTTCACCGTAACGTCTGCATCTATTCAGAAACAATCTTTCTAGCAAGCTCGCCCATCTATGCGATAATCGTACAGCTGTCACCGAGTTCGTCTTAACTGGGTTGGCTTGTCTCCGCCCTCAACCCTTGGCTTCCGTTTGGGTACTTGCAGACCATTGAGTCATCTAAAATGATAAGCATCAATGTGATCTTCTGCAGTTGTGCTATAATCATCCAACATGGCTTGAAGGGATGTCTCTGTTCGGCTGATCATCTTTAGGATTTTGGGCCTCTACTTTTACGATATTCCAGACCCATCTGCTTGTAACATCACATCATAGCGTATTGCTGCGTTTCAAGCATGGGCTGTTGGGTCGTAACATCTCTAGGCGATCTAGAGGTTCTTAGTCGTGGTTATTCATAACTAGAGCAACAAGATAAGTAAAAAGGAACCGAAGAACCAGCTGGCCTTTCCGGCTTCGTCTCTACTATCCTCATCCTAACTCCCTATATCTTTACTATACCCTCTTTGATATTTATGTCAATAGTACATTCGTCCTCAAAACTACTCAAAATAGGTTAGAATATATAAACACTCGAGACCTTACTATCTAACGCTTTATACTTCTATATTTCATTATACTTTCTTAAGTATTATTTATATTATCATCGTCTTTTTCTTTATCGCTAGCTCTTTTACATCTTCCTCCTTTATATATTCCGGAATGTATACTACGAAAATACTGAGAGGTACGATAATTAATATCCCGTTATAGCGATTAAAAATTTAAGAAACAGACGAACCAGAACTAGAGCAAATTAGGAGAGGAAAGCAGAACTATTCTTCAGAACGGCTCATTCTCTAAACAATCCAACGGGAACCATACGAAGACTCAATGCTTTGCGCAAGGCCAGGTCAATAGCAAGGCTAGTTCTTCTATGAAAATTCATCAAACTGCCCTTCCCTTGAAAAGGGTATTCCCCTTCTCAGCGTCTTACGAGGTGAAGCCAATAGCGGTCTGGGATCCTTTAGCAGTAGCCAGTGTCGTTATTCTGGATTTCTGGATCATCTTCCACAGCATATTTACACGTTTATTGAGTCGAGGAAACCATTTCGAGGAGACAGCGATGGCACCGGGATGCCCGTTCAAGAACGGCCCCGGCGTCCCGAAAGTGTGCCCAACTTTTATGGGTCTACCGGAGCTTGTACCGGCCGCTGCCACCGGGTGGCTGGAGTTCTTGGACCTTGCCCAATTTGGACGGGATACGTATCTTTTCTCGCCCTGCCATGTGCACCACGGAAGAGAAAAATTGGGGAAAGAACACCTCAGCTGAGCCCTCAGCCACGGGCAGCTTTGCTGGACGTAGCGGCGCAGCATCCACTAGGAATCCACCAGCCCAACCAATGTGCCAATGTCGTATTCTGTACTCTCTGAGGTGGGAATCCATGGCAGCCGCCGAACCGAACTGACTCTGGGCGACAAGACCAAACTTCGACAAGTTTCCTTCGCCCAAAGCCGTCGTCATCCTGCCAAGAAACGAATGGCAAACTGCGAGCGCACGCGCGTACGACGTAAACCTATTCATATATCCCACTCAGCGCATAGCTAGTTTCGCGCCAACTTTTCCATTGGCCTTTTCCCTCCCTCCGCTCAACAGATTTCCCAAGCATCCCGCCTTGCAGCTACACGCCCACAACCGCGCTTCCCCGACTCATCGCGCCGAGAGACACCACCAAGATTCACCAACATGCCCAGCACGAGGGTTCGTAAGGTCTACAGGACCGACGATGTCGTGAACCTCAAGGACGAAGAAAAGGAGCAACTGCTCGAGGTACGTTGAGCTACTTGCAAATTTCCCAAAGCTCGACCGTTAGCTGACAGCTCTGCCCCTCCAGAGCTACCTCCCAGACGGCCCACCACCAGACGCACGACGACAATGGCGCGACGATGATATTCCTCCCAAAGGCAGGTTCGGTCTGAGACGCGCCCTTCGCTCGAAGCTACACCTTGCGATTTACACAGTTCTCCACGCCATTTTCTCTTTGTATATTCGGATACGACAAGCATGGCATCTCGTGTGCTACCACATATCCTCCATCATGTTCTACCACCACCGAACCCCGGAATATATCGAGCGGGATGTTGTTGGTCTGAAGAAGAAGCCGAAACATCTCAGCGTCATTTTAAAGCGCGAACCAAGTGGGAGACACGGGGCTGAGTTGGAGAGATTGGTCGCCGAAGCGGCCGAGATTGCCGTATGGTGCGTCTGCGCCAAGATTCCCGTCTTGACGGTGTACGAGCGGACAGGTAAGCTGCTGATTCTACATGTATATCTCATCACCCTGCTGACTTTTCCTCCCCCAGGTCTTCTTAAGCACTACCTTCCTCACCTGCAACAATCCATTATCCAGAAGTCGCGATCCTACTTCGGTAGACACCAGCCAGCTTTGACCGTGGCTATGCCGCACGCCGACGACGTCCTCGAGTCCCCAGCCCATGGAGATTTCGCGCGCAACGACCCACGTCACCTCAAGGTTCTCTTCATCTCAGCCGAGGATGGGCGGGCGTCCATGGTTGATCTCACTCGCACCTTGACCGAGATGTCACAAAAGGGCAAGCTCCACCCCCGCGACATCAGCACAGATCTGATCGATGCGGAGCTGTCGGAGGGAATCATGCCGGAACCCGATCTGCTCATTTCTTTCGGTCCTTACGTCGACCTCGATGGCTACCCGCCTTGGCCCATTCGCCTCACAGAGATCTTCTGCTTGCCGGATAACCAGGGTGTTGGATATCAAGTCTTTTTAAGAGCGCTGCTCAACTTTTCCAGCGCACAGTTCCGCAAAGGCAAATAGAGAGTTGTTTGGGTTGCGTATACCCCCATGAAAGATGTCATGACGTTCCCTTGAGCTGGTCTTTGGCGGAAGATACCCGCATTTCCCGCATCGTTTTGTCCCACCGATAGACAGGTCCGGTTCCTACGTTGTAGTTGTAGTAATTATCAGTTCCTTCCTTCACCATCGCTCGCCTGAATGTGATGTTGATTCTCCCGCCATCCTCCGCATTCTTGCCCGTTCGCTTGGGTATCGAGTGAAGCCAATTCGACTGAGTGCGCCCGCGCATGAGGATCATGTCACCACTGGCTAATGGCAACTTGATTTGTTTGGGCTGCGGTCTATCCGGATGCTCATTGTCTGGGGGTATCGGCTTATGTTTCATGAGGAAATCCCTCCTCGCGCCGAGGGAGAAGGAGGCGATGGCTGGATCCGGACCAAGAAACCTCTCATCGTCGCTGTGGAAGGAGATGCTATCCGTGCCTGAAGCATAATAGTTGACGAGACAGAAGTTGAACTTGCAGTCTGTGGCCGTCTCGGCTGAGCGACGGAGGTCATCTAGACATTTGGGAATTGGCCGCGGTGGGTATCTCTGGTACAGTTTGTCGACGACTTTGAAGCCGGACTTCTTGTCTATGACGGAGCCATCGTCGTCGAACCGGGATGTGTCGTCCAAGCCAAATACTGTGGTGTACCTATCCATGTGAGTTGGTTTCATACCTCCAAATATAAACCTTCTGCTTACCGTGGCGTGCGAATGTGAGTTTGGAAGCCGCCTCTCTTAATGTCATACTCCACTCGATAGAATGGCAATTCGGACCGAAGAAACTCAAAGAGATCTTTAGCCATGTACGACGGAATGTAAGGCTCAAAGTACACCAGGTCGAGGTCTGGTTGGTCATTCATGTCTTTGCCTGGACGGGCAGGGAGTGACGAGAGCTCTTTACTGATGCTTGTGGGAAGCTCTGAGATAGGTATGGGATAATTGGCGTGAGTGGACTGGCCGACCTGATACTCATGAATTTCTGTTAGTGGTGAATTCTACAAATGTATTTGAGCCGCAACGAGACATACGGTTTCGCTTGACTCATCTTCCTTACGCAGCTTCTTCACAGATGGCGCGAAGAAGGAGTCCAGGGTTCGCTTCTTTGACATGATATATGAAGGGCTTCCAGACAATGAGAAGTGTCGTTTAAGTTGAGGGCGAGCTTGGATGAACCGGCGCCCGTTGAGCAGTAGCCACATGCAAATGATGGCTCTAACAAATAAGCAGCAGCCGGGATCCCAGTCTGAAAGACTCTTAACTCTGCAAATAAATCTTGACAAGACACAAACTTTACAACTAATACGAAAGCTGATGTGACCAGTCCCTCACATTCCTCTCAGACATGCCTGTCGACCAATCATCAATGACGCTTAGATCACGAAGCTCCAGTGACATCACCCTGTGGCGTCCGGGCCCCACTCCCACACCCGCCAATCCTCAGCCTCGCCAATACGCCACATTTGGGACCCCTGCCCCTCAGCCCTAGACGGAGGTTTTTCCTCAGCCTTGCCCCTCCATGACTGTGCCCGACTATCGACTCATCAACATGGCGGTAAGTCGAGAACCCTGCACGGCCGACCTGCCTTAGCACTTTGAATATTGTACTAACATCATCGTGAAGAACTCGAATTCCGATATGATTAGCCTCCGCGCGCCTCTTGCCCGCGCGGCTACTATCCTTGACCGCTCCCTCTTTTCTAAAAAGTTGGAACTCGCTGCCGCCACGGTCAAGGACCCCCGCAACATCTCAAAGTACCGCAAGCAGCTGGAAAAGGGAAATGAGCTTCTTAGACTTGACCGTCTAGATTCATGCAGAACTGATCCCAAGTCATCAAATTTGAAATGCCTTTTGTTGCGACCTGGCGTGAAAGCTGATAGTGTGTACCCCGCTTATGCTTGCTACATGTCTTGAGCCTGTGACTGACCCAGAACTCAGCACCGACGACATGGGGTCCTGTCTTCCAGGAGGGTATCAAGACTGGAGAGCTGGATGTGGTTCCTTACGAGCTGCAGCTCGACTATGACTACTGGAGCTACCGTGAGTGCGGTTTGTACCGAACAAAAAATGTGACTTTGCTAACCCCTGACGAAGTTGATGTGATGACATCCATCTTGCCTGAGGAACTTCACGTAGAGATCCCAGTCGGGTTCAATACGGCTGGACATGTTGGTACGTCGCCCGAAGTGAAGCCGTGAAACCAGCCACTGACCCTCACAGCGCACCTCAACCTTAAGGAACAGTACCTTCCTTATAAAAAGATCATCGCAGAGGTTATCCTCGACAAGAACCCCAAAATCACCACCGTTATCAACAAGGTGGATGATGTCGGCGGCAACTCTGTGTTCAGAACCTTTGCCTACGAGGTTCTCTGTGGACCCGAGGATATGAACGTCGAAGTCAAGGAGAACGATTGCGTCTTCCAATTCGACTATTCCAAGGTGTACTGGAACAGCAAGCTCGAGCCCGAACACACTAGGCTCATCGGCATGTTCAAACCGGGAGAAGTTGTCGCCGATGTTATGGCGGGTATTGGACCGTTCGCCGTGCCGGCAGGAAGGAAGGGTGTTTTCGTCTTCGCCAACGACATGAACCCCGAAAGCTACAAGTACTTGAACGCAGCTGTCCAGAAGAACAAGGTCCAGCAGTATGTCCGTTCATACAACATGGACGGCCGCAAATTCATCCAGGAGGCCGTTCACCAAGTCTACGACGCTTCTAAGAAGGGAGAGGGCGCTGTCATCAAGCCCAAGCAATCGAGAAGCAAACCCCAGAACCCCCCTCCTCAGCCGAAGCACATCCCAATCCCTCCTACAATCTCGCACTTCGTCATGAACCTACCAGCTTCGGCTTACACCTTTGTGAACCACTACAAGGGCATCTACAGCGGACACGAGGAGCTCTTCGAACCTCACACGTCTGCGAAGCTACCCATGGTTCACGTCCACTGCTTCGCCCTCAAGAGCGACGACGAGGTACCCCTGAATGACATCCTAGAACGTATATACGCCGAGATCGGCGTCAGGTTCAAGCTTGGAGACGCGGATAAGCAAGGGGAAATGACCATTTACAACGTGCGGGACGTTGCTCCGAAGAAGCGCATGTTTTGCGCGAGCTTCCGTATTCCTCCTGAGGTCGCCTTCGCGAAGGAAAGCTGAGATTCGCCCGCTCGGTTTACAGAATCGCCGTCCCCGCAGGCATAGTTCGATGTCACTGTCACCGAGATGGACATGTCGATGCCGGCTTGGTGACACAACTTCTCAGTGACACCTTAACCCGGGGGACACCTCTTTCATTCACGCCACACGGGAAGCCTCACCATCCTCCACGACCGTGACCGATATCCCATCCACGCCGTCCAGGCCTTTACCAACCCCGCCTCGCTTCGCCCAACTTGCAGCCGGTGTAAGGCTGACAAAGCTCTCAGCAAAGAGCTTCCCCGGCGCCTCTCGTATATCTGGTGTACCTAGATGAAGGACTTACCTGATCGGCCGTCGTGCATGAGAGGGGGCTGGTCAACAGAGATAACGTACGGCCACCTGACGGTGTCGTGACGGGAAACCTTGGCCATCCTTCATTAAATGCGGAGAGTGAGGAGTCTGCGAAGTGAAGAGAAAAGAAAGAACAACAGGAGATGGCGGAGGAGGATGAGGCAGGTCCACCTCGTCTCGACCCTCTGTGTCGCGGCGATTACAGCTTCGATACCGACCAATACCGATCTCCAATCGCACATTCCTATATCTGCTCCTCGATATACATGCAATCATGACTACTTGCATTCATCCCAGTTGTGCATATGCGCGCCCCATCCCCCTTCATCTATGAACCCTGGTGGTAGTGGTGGGTTGTCGTTGTCGTCGAACGCCGGAAACCACCACAACGTCCAGCATGTGATACCGCCAGCGCAATCCCGCCCAGTCTAAGGGTTCGGCGTGGTCGAACCGTCGAAGGGACAGCCCCTACCTCACCTAGACCGAGCCTCCATCTCGCGACGCCGCGCGACGCCGTGCGACCCCATCTTCGAGACGACCCCAGTCCCGCCCAGCCGAAGGTCAAGGTGCAGCATCCCGTTCGTCCCCCGCCCCGTATCGCCCCCCTTCTTCTTCTTCTTCTTCTTCATCAAGTCAGGGCCTGGTACAGCTACATCCACACGAAACGCGTCTTCATCATCTGTCCTTCTTTTCGCCTGGTTTTCAGGCGTCGCAGCGGCTGCACCATGACATGTAGATGATGACGAGGGGGTTTGCTCCGGTGAAGCGGGGGCGGCGCCCAGAGGAGGAGCATGGCAGGGCCTAGAACGCGAAGGGACTCGGCACCTCTGTGGTTGTCCCATCCCGCCGCCACCACCTTCAACCACCTCCTGCAACCTGTCAAAGCTGTATGTGTATGTGCATGTCTTGTGCGTGTGTGCTTCCTCTTGTCGACTTTGCGACAATCCGGGGATATGTCTCAATGGGCTGTTGGTGGTGTGTTTTGCGCAGCGCGAATCCAATATCCCGTCAATCCCTCCAATTCCCACCAAACATCATGAACAACGTCCTCAGTATACACCACATACAAGCCTTGAGCATCCACATCACGCATCTATCACTATTTACTAAATCCCGTCGCAGCGGCAGCGGACCCGCGCCGTTGATGGGCCCAGAGTGCCCCCCCTTACCCCCAGCCAGCCTCTCGGGGAGCAGGCGGAAGGGGAAGGCAGGGAACCATTCCTGGCTCGGGCGATAGGTATTACTCAGAAGCCAAAATGATGTTGCCATTTCCCGAACCAAGATTCCCGTTGAGTTGTGAGAACGTCATCTAGTCCGGGAAAACCCACACTCCCTATCGCGCTCATCATTGAGCGGTTTCTCTCTCCACGGGCCCCCAGTGTTCGAGCTCTCATCCAACCGTATAATTTCTCGTCGCAATGTCTATATCGGTTTACATAGATACTGTGGGTACTCCCATCGTATGCATGATATGGGGTAGGGTCTTTGGGAGATAGGGAATAGAGAGACGGCGTTCGTCTCTGCGTGTAAACATATGTAAAAAAGACTGGGAAAATGGGGCATGGGTACGAGGCATGGCGTGCATGCTGTACGTTGTACGCCCGTAGAACGCATGCCGCGACGTTGCAGTATTCCCTGGGGTCAGCAACGCCAGCGAAGCACATGTGCATGTAGATGTATGGGTGTGGATGTTGTGTGAGGTTCAGCATACTCCCCCTCCAAAGATCCCTTACAGTACAGGTATAGATACCCTTCGTGCCTTCGCCAACTCTTACGCCATACAAGGATACCTAAGACGCATGTATTGGCCCAGATAACCTGGACAAGTGACATTCCGGAGCGCCATGAAAGGTTCCAATTGACCAACGTATAGACATGGTTACACAAAGTGAAGAGCTGTGCCTAGAAATGGGAGCTCCGTCTGCGCCAGCTCTCGCAGGAGAGGCACCCTCCCCTCCCCGCTATTTCACCTGCCGTCATGCGAGGCGAGTTTCGGGACTATGGGTGTTGGGCATGATGATGTGCGTAAACGGCTGAATGACACATCTTGAGCTCGGAAAATGAAATTCAACTTCAATATCGCCCTGGATTGTTAGTTCGACCCAGTTCGGTTGTTATGGAGACAGGGCGTGTATCTACACAAATTACGAGACTATCTCTGCAGAGCCTCTTGAATCCTGGCATCGATCGATAAAGTCGACAAGTAACAACTGCATGTAGCTAGTTCCTCTATGGGTCGACCCTCCTCTACTATGGAGAGATACGTGGTAAAAATCCCCGAAAAGAATTGCCCTGTCAGATTGACTCAGTTGGTTGGTTTTGCTGATCTGACTCTTGCAGCAAGTATTGTAGATCAAGTCTTAGTGTACTGTGTACACCACATCACACTCACAAACCAACTAATTGGGCAATCCGAAATCGAAGCAGATGTTCAGAACCCGATGGCTATCTGTAGGTCACTAAAAATCACCTGATCATCTCGCGCTCAATTTTGTTTTCCCACGGGGAAAAAGGCAAGAACTCCGCTTCTGTCTCCATTCCCCAGTCTCTGGGGCGCGGCAGCGGCTCAATCACGTAAAAGCCAAGAAACCCCCCTCCGTCTGCGTCAACCAAGTGAAGTCCGAGTCTCTTTATTCGTGGTTAGTGGAGGAGTACTGGAAGCGGGCGGGGGGATAGAAGAACCACAACTGAAGTTGGTCTCATCCCCCAAACCAAGCCCAGCGTGTAAGCCAAACGCGCGCCGGCGCAAGGTACAAGAATAAAACCACGCATAGAACGAAACATCAACGCCTCAGCGCCTTGATCGACGATCTTCTCTTAGACTAAGACTGAAATCTGATTAACTTGAGCCTAGCATCCGCTGTTTCTCTCCGTTTCTCTCTGTATTCGTATGTGTGTGTACGTGTCTTACATTTCTATAGTTCGTACACCCTCAAACGGGCGTACTCGTGGTGTGATTAGCTTAGCGCCTAGAACCTCGCCAGTCCTATGGATACACACAACACGTTCACGGCGAACCTCCGTTATGATATCCGTATCGGCCCTCCTTTTCCCTCGGGAACAACAAACCAGCGATGGGGATAAAGGAGCAAAACAACTGATCACTGACTGGTCGACGGCCCCCCTCGACGGACCACGAAAATAAAACGGGGGCGGCGGCCCGCCCCTCCAATGCGTGCGTCCCCTTGCGCCCTTTTCCTTTGAAATTCGGCCGCCGTACCACCGTGAAAAACTCCGGCTCTCGTGGGAAAAGCTCCGCAAACGGGGGGCGAAAGAGAAACGAACCCGGAGGCGGAGGCGCCATTTTCACGAGCTTCCACTGGATGCTACTGGGCTAGGTTCCGAACTGCTTGGGTATGCTTAGTGAAATGTTCAAGCCCGGACGAAGCCCGTCGCAGAGGGGAGGAAGAAAAATCTCCTCTCTATCGGCCGGGAATACACCTGAGGCTTGTCCGTACCATGAGGCTTGAGACAGCCAACCCCTTCCCGTGCTACCCACCACATCACGATGCTATCTAGGTATCCATCCTTCGCCTGGCAGAGATGTGAGCCGTCGAATTCGACAAACACGCCCGCCAGAGCCGCCCTTCGCTTGCGGCAGGCACAGATAAGCGTCGTGATCCGCGACAGAGCCGCCGAGAACGAGGAGCAAGCCGATTCAGCACACGCCTCGTTCGCCTCATGCATCCCACCATCTGGGTGCGCCATCACACTATCTGGCAAATACTTTATCCAGCGAGCCTCATTGAGGCTCGGGTGTGTGTGAGTGTGTGTGGAAACTAACTAACCTACCTGCCAACCCCCATCCCAAAGACGACATGGCCGGTCGGCTGGCCGGCCGTACTCATTGACTGACTGATCAAAAGTCCTCGCGATAAACGTCCCGTCACTTGTCAGCTCGCTATTCCTGACGCAAATGACATCTTTTCGCTCTCAGTCCTGCTTTCGTTTTGCCCTCTGCTTTTGCACCCTGCTCCAACCTCCGAATCCTCCTTTCATCGCCCCGATCATGAACCAACAGAAAAAAGTGCTACACCCGTCCAAGCTTTATCAAAAACATAATAATCTATCCGTACCCCCTCCCTCCATCTTCCTCTATCCCGCAGTTGCCTAGCTTCTCCCACCTTATCGGAAGTCCTCCGGTGAAAGCTCCGTAACCTGTTGACCTGGGTAGTTCTAGACCACACCCCCTCGCATAACCCAAAACGATCCCAACTTTTCATCACGTCTTGCTCGGTCTACTTTCCGTGCCCTGAGAGTAGGTAGGAGGAGGCGGGGGAAAAGTAAACATGACGTCTGGTTTCCCCTCCTCCTCCTCCAGACCGGAGACAGAAAGACAGAGCCTCATAGCGGTAGGTAGAGACGGTCCCAAAAGGTTGACAAAACCCAATAAGCCCGTCTTCAACCGCACCCGGCCGCCCTGCTCTGCCCCGCGAGGCACGTCCTCTGTCCCGGCATTACGAACAACATACCGATACCTTACCTTACCTTACCTACAACACCGGCACCCCTTCCCCGGTTCCCCGGTTTGTTAAGCAAAAGCGCACGTACGCCCTTTACCCATCATCTGTTGCAAGATCGTGGGAAAATGGCCCATGCCCTGCTGCAACCCAGGAACAGCACAGATAATCATATACATCATACACACACCCCTTTGACTCTTTTTTCATCCTTCTCATCGTCTAAAGGAATTGAATTAGGTAAACAATTGCCCATAGCTTCCCCCCGACCTGTCCGGTCATCCGCGCTGCCGGTTGTACCTGGCTAGCCCTAGTTCAGACTTGTAGAGTCCAGTTGTAGTTCAGCAAGGCCTTTCCCTGGTCGAGTTGAGTCCAATTCCTATACCGGAAACTCTGTGTCCAATACGAAATATAGTACTCAACACACTCCGCGTTCCTTGCTGAGAAGCTACTGGCGACGACAATCCCATCTTCCTCCCTAACCCCGGATGCCGGCCACCGCGGAAGTCTGGATTCATTGCCGGTGGCGCGGGGAAGCAACGGCACCTTGGCAGGGGTAACTCCATGATGCTGTACTGTCATGGTGCTGCTGACCTGCCTTCAAGACGCCGTGTTCAACATAGAGACAAATTTGGGCCTGCGATCACGAACGGGGGCTGGGGTATGCGCGTAGGAGTTATCAAGGCTCATATCACATCGGCGTTTGCGTCGAGGTGCGCATAGCTCTTGGACCTAGACCGAGCCGCAAGCCGCGAGGCAAAACCCATCATCTCCCGGCCAAGCCTCCTCATACGGAACTTCTGAGTTGGAATGCGAGCTTGCTCACCCTTTGCGAGGCGTCGCGAACGGCCTGGGTCAGTGAACGCCAAAAAGAAAATTCTGCCCACGTCCCTGAATGAAAGCTGTGTAACGTGTATACCTATGCGAAGGTTCCCCGCGGAGAAGAGAGGAAAAGAAGCTCGACGTCAAATG